CTTCTCCTCTGATGTAAACAATCTTCGACCCACATGTGGCTTACTTGGGTTTGCAGTGCTCGAAGGGAACTTGTTGATACTGGATTCCCATATGTCCTTTGATGCTAGCTCTCTTTCATCCTTTTTAATCCTCTGATGCCTCCTCCATTGGGATCTGGACATTGGATTCTTTCCCTTGTAGTTCTCCAACCTGTAAGCCTCTCTCTTTGACGTTTGGAATTGTTGTCTGTAGGCCATTGAAGTTCTTCCCCCTTGGTCGAAGCTCCTCCATTTTCCTCTTCCTGCCTCAGCCTGAGTCTATTTCTCAGTTGGTATTTCCGCTGGAAGTTTGAAAGTGACTCTCCTAGCCTTGGGGTGAGGGCTATCTTTTCTCCTGGGAACTCCCTTCTTGTCGAAGACGTATATATTTGGGTTGCCACCTTGTTGGTCCCAACCATGGGTGAAAGGGATTCTTTCGAACAGTTCAGCCATTTACCTATCATACACTGCCCCACACCTAGGACATAACAGACACTCTGTTTCAAATTTATAACAACGTACCCGAAAATTCAGCAGACTTTCCACTGGATTTGGGTATACTTTCATCAATTGGCTTTCTTGCCTCCAGTTGCCCTGGGTTCTAGCATGTTGAGCTCTTTCATAAGCCTCTGCTACCCTTCGACTCAGAACAATACTGCACCTTGGGCACACCAGCATTTCTGAAATCCTTCGGTGACACCTCCATAAGTATTCTCATAGTGTCTCATTGGCCTTAGGGTAACCAAAATTCATCTGTTCCTTCTCCATTTTTGGGCACCTTTCCACCTCTTCCATTTCGGGCGAAGGCTGCTTCAAATCCACCATATTAACCCTCAGACTAGGACCTTCAACAATCCTTATATTTTCAAATTTAACTCTAAGGCTTTTAATAGCCTCAGTTATTCCTCCTACAAAGCCCTCAGTAGACTCTGATTCAGCATTACTTGCAGAAATATTTTCAACAGGAGTGTCAAAGAGAATTTTGTCAGTTATGCCTTCAGTAGCCTGCTTTCCATCCATGTTGGAGCCTTTGACTTCCTTAGCTTCTTCTCCTCCACACTCCACCATATACACCATATTGATCTCCACAAGTTTAGTGTAATTGGTATCTACAACATGGAGGGGATCAACATCAACCTTCATGTGGCTCTTGACTTTCTCAGTAAACTTCATACATCCTTCTTTGATAGCATTTTGAATAAGATCCCTGAAAATAAAGCATTGTAAAGTTTTATGGCCCAGAAAATTATGATATTTGCAAAAGCCTCTTTTCTTCAGTTGTTCTAACGGAGGAATTTTTGCATTAGGAGGCACTATCATTTGACGATCTTTTACAAGAAAATCGAAAATCTCATCACATTTAGTAATGTCAAACGTATAAGTTTTCTTGGGAAATTTCTCATTCTTTTCTGTTTCGACAGGATTTCTGCCATTTGTTGGTGTAAGCATTTTACAATAGTATGGGGGTGCTTCTTTTAGTTCAGCCAGATCTAATTCGAATTCCCCAAAATCATACATATAAATGAAGGCCTCTACTTCTTCTTCTTCGGCTTCGACATAAGCTACCCCCTCTTTCTTATAATTTTTACTTGCTCTGGCCTTTTCTGCTTTTAAACGTTTGACTTGTCGAACTCTATCTGCTAATTGGGCCATGTCTCTTAGATACTGAATATCTAGTTTCTTTCGAATGGAGTAATCTAATCCCCCAATGGCCATTTTGACTAATTCATGTTCAGGTACTACTGTGAAACATCTAGACTTTAATAAACGGAACCTATTCAAATAGTCATCTATAGGTTCAGTAAACTTTCTTTTGATGATGGCTAACTCCTTAAGGCTTATCTTAGTTTACCCCATGTAGAATTGTTCATGGAACAATCTCTCTAAATGAGGCCATGTATCTATAGAATTTGGTGGCAATACGGTGAACCACGTAAAATTATTTTTTGTTAATGAACTAGGAAAGTATTTTATCCTTAAGTTTTCACTATTTGCCAAATCCCCTGCTTCTATCAGATATCTGGCCACATGTTCGACAATTGATTCGTTAGTATCTCCTGAAAACTTTATGAATTTGGGGACTTTACAACCCCTTGGTAATTCAGCCTACAAAATAAAATCTGTCAATGAAGATGTGTAATTTGGTCGTCGAAAACATGTGTTCAATCCATTTAGGGCCATGATTCTTTCAATCATGGTGGTTAAATTATTTTCAGCCAGCATGTTATCCTGCCTAACTCTATAGATCACTTCTTCTGCATTTTGATCTTTGTTAACCATTACTACTCTCATGGATTTCTCCTAAGGGATCTCATGTTGAATCTCTTGTTGTTCTACCCTTAGCCTCATTTTCCTTTCTCCAATCTCTTGTCTGGGTGGTCGAACCTGATTGATAGTGGGTTCTTCTTCTTGAATTTCCGCTGGTTTTGCCTACGCCGAACAGGTGCTTGGGGGGCTCCAAAGAAATCTGCTATGCGTGCCATCTGTACTGACATTTGCTGATAGGATTGGGTATTTTCTTAGTTTATCCTATTAACATTTTTTATCAAAGGGGAGAAAATTGAATTCATTTCACGGGCAAGTACTCCGACCATGTCATGGTTACTAGCGTCCATTTCTTGCCTAAATGTTTCTTGATTATTAGTTGTAAGCATAGGTATTTGGTTTGACAATCCTTGGTTCTGCATTTTTCGACCCATATAGTTCATACCAGAACCAAAATTTTGTATTGGCGAAAAGGTTGTCATAGTAGGTTGTGTATGTATGGATGTATTATTGTGTAACCCTGACATAAAGGAAGCTGGCATTCCATATTGGGATTGCTCCCTCCAAGGCCCAGAATTTTCAAACCCTGGTGGCCTTGGGATTGTAGGTTGAGTCTGATTTCCAACATATGCCAACACATGGCCGATTTGAGTATTCGACGGAATCTCTCCCGTGCTTGTAGAAACATGCATGGTTGTCGAATTATTCGTAGGGATGGGCCCTGTAGACCCAGGTATAGAACTATTTGTAGCCATGGGTCATGTGGATGTGGATATGGCTTGTGAATCAAGGATTGCAATTGACGTATTCGTCGAACTGGCCATGATTGTGCCTGGTCCTTGTGGAGGATTTTGCCCTCCTCCACTATTGGTATTATTAACCATTTTTCTGGTCTGTTTTCTTTTGGGTATTGATTGGTTATTGTTAGTTACCACTTCTAAGGTTCATATACTAAAGGCAAGAATTTGTTCCTAAGAGAAACTAAAAAGACCCTAATGAAAGAACATAAGCAATGTGACTAAACCACTTCGACACAGTCCCACTGGGCGTGCCAATTTATTTACCAGTGATTTCTGACAAACAACCACTAGTCTTCCAAACCCTATATTTTGGTAACTTACAAGATCAACTAGATTGATCCTAGGACATGTGTCTTAGTGTTACAATTTGAATTAGAATTTGACATAATAATAAGGTCTTTCTACGTGATTATGGTTACTTCAAGATGTTTAAAATTTGGCTATGAATTCTAAATATAACTTTCAAGGAAATGATCTAAATGTTTATAAAATATAAAGAAAAAATGCTTATAAAGGAAGTTCGACAAAATCTGTTAAAAGTGTTTAACTGGAAACGAAAAGGAATAAGGAAAGCAATTAAAATAACTTTGTAATAAGAAAACAACTTTGAATAAAAATGATGGTGCTCTTACACATACATTATCAATAAACTCTTTTCTCTCGCTCTGGTACTTTGAGTATGAGTGATTTGTATACAATATGAACACCTCTGAATCCTAACATCTAAGACTCCTATTTATACTAATTCGATCCTAACGGTCTTTCTATGAGATTACACCACGTTCGGCATCTTTTACATGTATACATTCTGGCGCTTTCACGCGTCTTCCTGATAAAAACGCATTAGTTTGAAATTTAAACTTCTCGCTCGAAGCTTTTGAATTCAACTTTAAATTCAACCAACATGACTGTCGAAGTATTCACATATCTTGAAATACTCATTTCAATTTAAGTTGCTCTTCGACATATCGAATAAAAAAAATGAGCTTTATAAAATAACCTTATAAGGTCAAATTTCATGTTATTTTTTTTAAAACATGGTCTTCTCAAATCAACTTTCATATTTTTATCAAATGTCGAAATCTTCGGCTAACAGTATCGCGTCACAAATTTTATCATCTTCATTTTTTATTCGGGGCTTGAGTCGATATTTCACACCGTTGATGATGTGACATTTTCTTCTCGCGTTATGCGTTAAATTTGCTGACACTGTCTAAATAAGGTCCAATTCAAATCCAAATCCAAGACCAATTAAAGAGCTATATATTTTAAAAATTCAGATTTTCTCTTGTAACTCACTCACTACCTAAAACCTCTCAAATTTTCTCTCTATTCTTTCAAGATCAAAACTCTCTTCTCTCAGATTTCTTCATAAATCTTCATCAAGAGTTCATCACAAAAACAACAAAAACTCAAGAAACTTCACTCTTCATCTCCGATTCCGCAAGCATCACCCCTGGTCCACCGTCCGAGCCGCTTCGTTGGAAAACCGGTTTTCCTCTACTCCCGCCGACCGCAACCCGCGGCCTTCGTCTCCCTGCGCACTAGGCGCGTTTCTGGCGGACATCTCTTCGTCGATCGTTCTGGCTTCCCTCCGTTGGCAGCACTCTCCGATTCTCCTCAAATTTTCGGTAAATATCCTCTTTGCTTTTACTTGATTTCTTTGATTTTGTGACATTTGAGATATATGTTCATGAGTTAGAATTGATTATTGAAGTGAAAATTGAGTTTGAATATTAAAATTAATTGAATTCTTGAGTTTGATTTTTGGTTCATGAGAATTGAATTTAGTGGTGAATTGAGTTGTTAATATAATTCTTGAAGTTGTGAATCATGAAGAGATGTGGAATAGGTTGAACTTGATTGGAATTTGAGTTGATTATGGATTGAGAATTTTCTTGAAGCTTAGGTGTTTGTTTAAATGCTTGAGACATAATTGTGTGATGTGAGTTGATTTCTTGAGATAATTGGAATTGTTGTTTTCTTGAATTGGTTAATTCTTGAATCATTGAGCTTTGTTTCATGAGATATTTGAATTGTTGAAATTGTTGATTTCTTGAGTTGTTTAATTTTTGAATTGGTTGATAATGTTGAAATCCATAATTGGTTGATAATGTTGAAATCCATAATTGGTTGAGTTTGGATAAGTTCAAGAGAACTTGGAGTTTTAACACGGTTGCATTTTGTGGATGTTGGTTTCGATACCGGAATCTTGTTTCCGATTGAATTTTTGATGTTGATAATTTGAAAATTCATGAGTTAACATTATTCTTGAGTTGAATTGAATGGTAATTCAATTTTTCAACATAAAAATTTTCGATTCAAGAATTGTGTTAACACTTGAACTTTACCGTTTGTGATCGGAAAAACATGTTTCTAATGCGAATTTAACTTTCAATAATTGTTTGAAGCTTCTAGGCCATGATTCATGAGTTGACACTCATTTTGAAAACCAAATTTTGAACACTCATCGACTCATGAATAGTGCTGCCCGGAGAGCATACATGTGCTCCAATTTGTGTTTTAATTTTTCCCAATGCATAGGTGCTTTGTGTGGGTACTTGATTGCTACCTATAGCATTTTCGGTTGATTTTATGCCGGTATTTTGTGTATTCCGTGGTGTGTAAAGTTGCTGTCTGGAAATTTCTTTTATCATGTACATATTTGTTTTTGTCTTCATTTGTTGATTTCTTGTACATAATTAATTGTTTCATGACCGTTGTTGATGAGTTTTGGTGGTTCCAATACCATTTGCCGGCTTATTTTGTATGGTTACATAGTGCTGTCCCGTATTGGAAAAACATGTAAAATGTTGATTTAATCTTTGTTTAGCTTACGGTGGATACCGGTATCAATCGAGGTTGATTTTAAACCGATGTTTTTGCATTTCATGAAAGGATATTTGGTTGTCCGGAACTCACTTTTTGCATGTGAATTTAAGTTTAATTCTTGAATAATATTTTGTGGAGTTTAATTAATCAATTGGTTGATACCGGTATCGATTTTTTGTTCGCTTTAATTCGATTTTTGGTGAGATTTCACATGTTATGACACGGTAGCGAACAATCTGATATTGAGAATATTACTAGCTTCTATAGGGGCAATCTGCCGTTCAGATACTTGGGTATTACTTTAACTAGCATAAAGCTATCCAATAATCCTTGCTTAGTGCTAGCTGAAAAAAATTGGTGAGAAGTTGAAACATTGCAGCTCACATTTACTCAGTTATGATGGCAGAGTGCACCTAGTGAATAGTGTTGTTTTTGAATGTGCTAATTACTGGTTGAGTTGTATGCCTTTGCCTAAAGGTGTCATCAACAACTTGGATGTGATGTGTAGGGCCTTTGTGTGGTCTGGTAAGGATTCCAGTTCTCGAAAATCCCATGTGGCTTGGGAGAAGGTTTGTGTCCCTAAGAAGCTAGGTGGTTTAGGGATTATTAACTTGCATATTTGGAATAAAGTTTTCCTGGCTAGACTTCTTTGGAATCTTAGCAGCTGATAGTATGTGGATGTGTTGGGTTCATGCGTATTAGGTGAAAACTGTATATGTGATGCTTATGGATATAAAGGACAATGGCTCAAGGATCCTGAGACATATTCTGAAAATAAGAAATGAAGTCAGCACTTTGTATGAATATTATAGTCTGAAGAACTCGAATCACTTCCAGGCTAAGAAGTTCTACATGGAAGTCCTGCAACATATGCCTAAGGTGGAGTGGAGAGGCCTTGTGAGTAACAACAAAGCCAGGCCTAGGGTTGTGATTGTGTTGTGGCTTGCTTGCCAGAAAAGATTGGCCACCAAAGATATATTGGTGAAGTTTGGAATCAAAACGGATCTCAAGTGCGTTTTCTATGATTGTGCTGAAACAATTCATCACCTTCTTTTTTATTGCAGGTATACAAAAAGGATCTGGGGGGATATCCTAGAGTGGATAAATATTAGCCACACCATTCAAGGGTGGAACCAGGAGCTTACTTGGCTGGTAAAATTTTGCAAGAGTAAGAACTGGAGAAGTTAAATTGTTAAGATTGCCATAGCGGAGATGATCTATGAAGTTTGGTGGAATAGGAACTTTGCTGTACATAATAAGAATCGAAGTGATAGAAACATGTCAAAGATCATTATAGAGAATATAGTTAACAGAATGTGGCTCTACCCCAAATATAGAGATAGTATAGCAAAACTCATGTTGCCTTAGGTTGTTGTTAGTTGGGCCTGAGTTTAGTCTTTTTTGTTTGACCCCATGGGTCGCATTTGTATGTTGAATTGTTTTTTGGTTAATATAATCTTTATTTCTAAAAAAAAAGTTGCAGAGACTATCAGATTCTCATAAGCATCAACATAACCTAACATACACAAAGTCCACAATTACTGTGATGGAGAGAATGCGAGAATACAAGTTGATTACAAATTCAGAATAGGAAGAACATGAAGAGAATGTGAGAAATAACATAGAAGTATTTGTGAACTTTATTGTTTTGTTCGCTCGCAGATACACCTAAACAGACGGCACTTCAAGACATAAGGAGAACGACATATACTGGAATCACAATGTTCCACTTTGTAGCAGAATATTTTATCTGTGATGTCAAATAAAAATTAAGGTATATTAATAAAAAGAAATCAACAACTATGTATAAGAAAAAGAAGATAGTTTAAAATAGGTGTTAAAAATAACTTACTATTGCTTGTTGCAAGAACAGCTAAGGAAAGAAAGATCATTAAAGCGTTAATGAATTTGAGTTTCTTAGTCATATTTTTTCCTCTTTTGTATATGATAAATAGGAAACTAGGTGATCACTTTATAAGTAAAGTTCCATGAGTTAATTGTTTAATTTTAATAGTTTTTAGCAATCAGAGTTGTAAGAAGTCATTCATCAATTAAAAACTATTGTATGTGTCTCTTAGTAAATCAATATGTGTCTTTGTTGTAAAGGGTCTTAAAGTGGATTTTATGTTGGATATTCTCTTCAAAGCATTCTCAAATTTTTGGAAATCTTGTGTAAATTAATTATAATTTAATTATGACAAAACAAATAGAGATTCTATTTAATTATGTTTTAACTATGTCAAATATTTTATGAGAGTTGATATTTAGATAGGGATGTGTGACTCAAGATAGCTTTAACGAGACATACGATAAGTGTCAAATGTACATACTGAGTACACCAGTTAATAAACCTACTGGAGGTAGGACATTTAGAGTCACAATGTCACTTTTTGCGTGAATTTTAGGAAAAAGAAAGCTATATTTCTTCTTAGGGTCTTCGTATATATACAGCCTTGCAGGCTTAATCTCTGTAAGATCAATGGATTAGTCGTAAATATTTATGTTTTTTTAGGTTAATAAATCTTTATATATCTCAGTGTGTTGAGACGAACTAATCTTTATTGTGATGTATCGACTTTAAGTTAGCTCGTTCAATTCGGCCCATTTATATCAATCCAACTTGCTCTTGCCCCATGGAGTGCCTTGAGATGTTTTTTCCCAAGGTATCAGAATATACACTATTGCTTATATCTTTTTTATTTATATAGTTGATCAATCAAACTTAGTAAAAGTTTTACATGATAACATTTATCATTTAGATGATCACCATAAGTCTTTTTTTTTGTTACTTAAACTTTGTAAAATTGAAGATCAGACACTCCAGTATCCTATTAGTGAAATATATTTAACATTTTAAAATATTGTTTATAAAAAATTGAGGATAAATTTAAATTTAAAGAACACGTAAGTTATAAAATATCAGAGATACCGTTTATTTTAAGCGAAGAACGTGAAGATTTGGTGAAATACGTTAACACTTTAGATATTACTTTTCATAGAGTGATAAAGATAAAAGTTTACGAATTTGTTTATTTTTATACAACTTTAATGTATCCACCTCTTATGAACTTTAAGGCCAAAGGAAGGGTTAAAAGAAGTAATAAAGTTCAAAAGAGTGATGTGCTTTATGAACTTTCATTTTAGGAATATGCTTTTACTTCATAAAGATGAATAAGTTAAACGTCGAAATATGCTAATTAACATTCTCCAGCATCTGCAAGTCATCTGTTTACTAGATCTATGTATATTTATCATAGTTTCCAACAATTTTCATGACTACATTAAAAATATTATTGATGTTGAGGAAGATGAAAATTGTGGTTGTCGTGTTGTTGGAGATTTGCTAGGGTGGAGTGAAGAGTTTTGACCATTGATTCGAACGCAGATACATACTAAAATTTTCAATAACAAAGATGTTTATTTCAAGATGCTATATTATATTGTTTCACAGGTTAGGAGTTCCAAAAGGATATATGGTTTGGGTGTTCAAGTAAGGAAAACGTGGATGGCCATTCTAGATACGGGTTATCAATTTCCATCTAGGTAACAGTTTTATATTGGTGACATTGTTAAAGAATCTCAATATCACATTCTTCATACTTGACTTGTCGTATTTTTAGTAATCAATCACGATTTTGTCTCACTTAAGAGATTAAATTCAAAAAATATCAAGAATAATTTGTGTAGAAAAATATAATAAAAAGCGTTTGTGATTGGAACTTAGATATTTGACTATTGACAAATTGTGTTAGATTTAATCTATATTTTAAGAATATCTTTTGGATATTAATCTATATTTTAGGAATATCTTTTTAGAAGATATTATATCTTTTTATATCTTTGTTAGAGGATATTTAGGATTTTATTTTGTGTATAAATAGCCTAGTGAGGTAGCTCAATTTAATTCATTATAAATCATTATTCCTTATTTTTGTAGCCGTCATTTAATATATTCCTTTTGCCTTTCATCTTTTCTTTATGTACCAACAATTGGTATTAGAACTTTCCCTTTCAGAAGTACTTGCTTCAGAAATTGGACTTTCTCCAGAACCTTGACTGTCTTCAGAGTCTGGATCACCATCAGAGTCAGAGTCAGAATCATCTTCTCCTTCTGTATCTTCTTCGAAATCAGAGTCTTTACCAGCTTCAGAAACATGTGTTTCTGACTTTTCTTCAGAAGTTCTCTCATCAGAGTCAGGACGAGACCTTTCCCAATTCCAAACTTCTGATACCTTTACAATTATGTCTCTGCTGAACTTAACATTGTTAGTTTTTGGACAATAAAGTGTGTACGAGCTTGTATTGTGGTATCCCACCAACAACATCACTTTACTTCTATCATCCAACTTCTGTCTTCTGGCTTCTGAGACATGTTTGTAACATACAAAATCAAACACCTTCAGATGACTAACACTTTGCTTATCTCAAGTCCACTTCTGAATAGGAACTATTTCCTTCAATTTCTTCGTTGGACATCTGTTTAGCACATAACATGCAGTTGCAACAGCTTCTCCCCACAAAGTATGATGGAGCTTCTTCTCTTTCAGCATGTTTCTCACCATATCAAGAAAAATATGGTTTCTTCTTTCCGAAAGACCATTGTGTTGAGGAGTATAAGGAGCAGTAACCTCATGCTCAATTCCATTTTCCTCACAAAAACTTCTGAATTCTGTGGAGTTATACTCACCACCACCATCAGTTCTAAGAATCTTCAGATTCTGGCCACTCTGATTCTCAGCCTTCAGTCTGAACTTCTTGAATTCAGGAAACACCTCGTGTTTGAACTTTATGAGAGATACCCATGTCATTCTGATGATCTCATCAACAAATGACACAAAATATTTATTCCCTCCAGTTGATGTTACTGGAAAAAGACCGCACACATCAGAATGCACTACTCCCAAGGCATTTTTTTGCTCTTGGAGCTACTTCTGATGCAAATGGTAATCTTGGTTTCTTCCCTTCCATGAACACCTTGCATGATTTTTCAGGCTTCTTGATTGTAGGAATTCCATGTACCAGATTCTTTGATTTCAGATGCCCTAAACTTCTGAAATTCAGATGACCAAATCTTCTGTGCCACAACTCACTCTCCTTGACAACACTTGTTGCACTAAGACATTCAGAGTCTGCAGTTCTAACATTCACTTTGAATGTTCTGTTCCTTCCCTGTTCTGACTCCATAATTAGCTTCTGATTACAGTCATACAACTTCAGAAGATTGTCCTTCATGGTAACTGAAAAACCTTTCTCAATCAGTTGTCCCACACTCATCAGAATGCTTTTCATGCCAGGTACATACCATACATTCTGGATCACTGCTGCTTTCCCATTGTTTAGAATGATTATGACATTTCCCATACCTTCTGCATTGAGGTATTTATCATCAGAATATCTGATCTTTGTACTCTTCCCAGAGTCAAAATCAACCAACCATTTCTTGTTTCCAGTAAGATGGTTTGAACACCCTGTGTCCGTATACCATCATTCTGATGCATTCAGATCATCAGGTTCAGAAGCCAACAATAGCACAGGTTCATCATCTGACTCTCCTCTCGCTATATTTGCTTCTTCTGACTTTCTTTCTTTGTTTGACCAGTAATCTTTGGCATAGTGACCAAAGTTCTTGCAACAGTAACACTGGACATTCTTTTTGTCAGATTTCTCCTTTCCCTTCTGGACATTCTTCTGCCTATCAGAGTTTGAAGCTTCTGACCTTTGACCATCCTTAGTTTTCTTTCTGGCTTCTGACCAAGTCTGCTTCTGATACTTCTTACTAGAAGTTACTTTCAGAGCCTGCTGCTCTACTTCCCTCTCAAAAGTTCTCGCAGTCATACCAACTCATGCGCCTCTAGACTACTTTGTAGAAGGTATGAGAAATGTCAGAATCATTCTAAACAATGGGAAAGCAGCAATGATCCAGAATGTATGGTATGTACCTGGCATGAAAAGCAATCTGATGAGTATGGGACAACTGATTGAGAAAGGTTTTTCAGTTACCTTGAACGACAATCTTTTGAAGTTGTATGATTGTAATCAAAAGCTGATTATGTAGTCATAACAGGGAAGGAACATAACATTCAAGGTGAATGTTAGAACTACAGACTATAAATGTCTTAGTGCAACAAGTGTTGTCAAGGAGAGTGAGTTGTGGCAAAGAAGATTAGGTCATCTAAATTTCAGAAGTT